TGGAGGGGGGAGTGGGAGGGATAATGGGGGATGAGGATGAGGGAGGAGTATGGAGGAGAGGGAAAGGGAAGAGGAAGAGAGAAGGGGAAGGAGGAAAAGGGTGAAGGAGAAGGGTGGAGGGGATGAGAAGGGGAAGGAGAAAGGATAGGGAAGAGGAAAGGGGAAAGGGAAGGGGAAAGAGAAGGATGAAGGAGAAGGATAGAGGATAAGGGGAAGGGAAAGGAAGGATAGGGAAGAGGAAAGGGAAAAGGGAAGAGGCATGGGGAAGAAGAAGGAGGATGAAGGAGAAGTGTAGAGAAGGAAAGAGGAAAGGGAAGGATAGGGAAGAGGAGAGGGTAAAGGGAAGGGGAGAGAGGAGAAGAATGGAGAAGGTCTGCGGAAAGGGAATAGGGAAGGACAAGGGTGGTGGAGAAGGATGAAGGAGAGGAGAAGGAAAGGGGAAAGGGAAGAAGAAAGGGGAAGGGAAGAGGAAGAAGGAGAGGACAGGAAAGGAAAGGAGAAGAGAAGGCGGAAGAGGAAAGGAAAAGGCAAATGAAGAAGAGCTAAGGAAGGTGTCTCGTGGGAGCTGCAGAGTAGGGACCTTCTCTCCTCTCATTTTTTCATCATTCCTTTTTCCGCTGAGGAAACTCTTCCTACTGAACCGTTCGCTCGGGCTTTCCCACCCCAGGGCTGAGTCCATGCCTTCTGAAGGGACCCCTGTCCCCCAGGGCTGGGGCCGAGGGAACGTTGGCATTGACCTTCTCCCATGTCCCCAGCACTGCCTACACCGCCGAAGCCACCGACTACGACGTGCGGGTCCTCCTGCGGTTTCCTCAACGGGTGAAGAACCAGGGCACAGCTGACTTTCTGCCCAGCCGGCCCCGGCACAGCTGGGAGTGGCACAGCTGCCACCAGTGAGTGTCCCTCCGCTTCCATCAGTGCCCCTCACCTTGTCAGGGCAGTTTTAAGCCTTTTTTTTAATGGTGTTTCCCCATTTTTGTGGCTTTGCTTTGAAATCTTTTTGAGGGAGGTGTCACCTTGCTTCGTCCCAAGCCCCATTAATGTCCCCAAGGACAAGCTGGTGTGGACCCAGGGTTGATGAGGAGCCTCCCAAAATCTGGGGAGGGGACAGTGCCGTTTAGGGGGGTCACCATGTCTGTGTTGTATGTGTGTGCCCTCCCCATCCCCAGGCACTACCACAGCATGGATGAGTTCAGCCACTATGACCTGCTGGATGCTACCACAGGGAGGAAGGTGGCCGAGGGCCACAAGGCCAGTTTCTGCTTGGAGGACACCACCTGCGATTTTGGCAACCTAAAGCGTTATGCCTGCACAGCCCACACCCAGGTACAGTTTGGGGAGATGCTCAAAGGACTTTTTGGGGTTCACCCCCCACCAGCACACTCTGAACTCCCTTTTGTCCCTGCAGGGCTTGAGCCCGGGCTGCTACGACACCTACAATGCTGACATCGACTGCCAGTGGATTGATATCACGGATGTACAGCCGGGGAATTATGTCTTAAAGGTGGCATTGGGGGACACTTTTAGGAACAAACTCAACCCTCGGGTTTGGGACCATGCGCCTTTTTTGCTGCCACCCCTTTGTTGTGGGTTAGGCACTGCTCGTTCCCCCTCTTACTTATTTTCTGGGGGATGTTTTTCCTTCCCTTTCCCCTGTCTTTAGGTTCAAGTGAACCCCAAATACATTGTCCTGGAGTCGGACTTCACCAACAACGTGGTGAGGTGCAACATCCATTACACCGGACGCTATGTTTCCACAACAAACTGCAAGATTTCCCAGTAAGGAGATGTCTGTCCTTCTGTCCTTCTCCTTCTCTGGTCTTCCCTTGTCTATGAAAAAAACAAACAACAGAGATGCGGCTCAGATCTGAGTGGTTAAATTTCTTTTTTCCTTCCTTTCATCTGGGTTTTCTCTATGAGCATCAAAAAAGAAAAGCTGGATTTGGCTGGTGGTGGAGCTGGGGTTGGTGTCTTGCTCCCTTTTGGGGTGTTTATACGGAATTTCCTTGCTATTCCAGGGAAGAAGGAAACTGAGTCACAAAAGACACCATTCCCCCCTTTCTCCCTCTAACATTTTTTAATGGGTTTCTAAGTGCCTTCCCTAAATCCTGGGATTTTTTTGTGTGTGTGTGTCTTCTTTCAGATCCTGATGGGAGCAGGCCCAGAAGGACGTCACCTGCCCTGGCCTCTGTCTCCCTCTCAAAAAAGTGCCTGAACTGGCTCCTCTGTCCCACCAGAGACCTCAAAGCCCATCAGCAGCTCCTTGAGGACCCCCCGCCAAAAAAACCCAACCCAACATATTTCTTCACGTTAAAAGGAAGGGAAGTGAGAATGAATTATTTTTTATACTTACATTTACTTTAATCTTTGGGGTTTTTTCTTCTGTTTCCTAAGGGAAACTGATACTGAGTTTTAGCTGGAATAAAAGCAAGGACCCATAAATGCTGTATAAATGATGTAAATCGCATATTAACAACAGAGAGCTCTGTAGTCTTTAACCCTTTTGGCATTTTCTTTTTTTGGGGGGGGTCTCCGGCAATGCTGCCTTTCTGGAAAGGGAGGAAGAAGACAACCTGGATTCAGAGGTGCAGCCGTGATCCCCTCTTCTCGAAGCAGCTGCCACGCCAGGATGCTCTGGTTACCTTTGGGGACCGAAGGTGACCAAAATTCATCACTGTCATGGGGGGAACTCGCTCCATCTGCTCAGCTTTTAAAAGTAGGGGTGGAGTCCTCAAAATGACTGGAAGTCTTGGTTTATTGTTATTGTTATGATTAATAATATTATTATTTTCATGAGCTTTAAACCCAGAAATCATTAAAACACATTGCTTTTGAGGGGTTAGTGTTTAACTGAGGTCATGGTGCCACTGTGACGGCCCACTGAGGGATGTTCTCGAGCCATGAATGTTATCCTTTCATCCTGCATACCACGGAGCACAGGGCATGATGCAAGAGTGCCCTGGCTGGGAAGAGGCTGTGGGATGTGGCTGCCCCCTG